GAGCGGGGCCCGGGTGCTACACCCGAGGACTTCGTCAAGGCTTTGGAAAAGAGAGAGATGGCACGGCTTCAGGTGCCCAAGGTTAACATCTTCCACTTCAATGGGGATAGGGTGTCCGAGTGGCTTGAGTTGTTGGAGCAGGTCACTTGCGAGGCATCAGAGGCAAACAAATTCAAGTTGATGCCTAGGTACATATAGTGGGAGCTTAGACCTGAGGTAATGAAAGTAGCGGTCGGCGCAAATGGTAAGTGGGCAAGGTTTAAAAAGGAGATGCAGAGGCGTTTCAAGTTAGGGGACAGCCTGCTCACAAAAGAAGACCTGGAAATGTTGAGACGGGATGAGTTCTCCACGGTAGGAGTCTTTGGCACAACATTTGAGAAGATGGCAAAGAAAGTCCCAGGGCTGGCAGAAGAAGAACAGTGTGCCACTTTCCTGGGGCACTTCAAGAATTGGGAAGCCTCGTCGCTAACCAAGAAAGCTGCGTCAGGAAAAAAACTGACTTGGGGTGTCATAAAAGAAGGCATGCTAGAGGGAGAGTTGGACCAGGTAGACATCTTCCAGATGAAACAGGCTAGGAAGAAAAGGAAGACTTTGGATACTATCGCTAGTGATGGGCGCAACTTCAAGCTAATGATAGAAGAGGCTGTGACACAGCACGATGCAGAGAAGGAGGCAAGAAAGAAGGCTATGGCGGCGCCACAAGCCCAAGGGAAAGGAAAGAAGGTGGTAGTGCTAGAGGAGGAGGAAGAAGAAGAAGAGGAACCCGAACCACAAAAGTTGACCAAGGCTCAAAGGAAGGCAAGGAACATGACTCAAGGGGGGCAAGGCTCAGGAAAAGGTCAAGCCCCGCAGGCTGTAGCGGCGCCACCCCCTGAGTCGTCCAGTCAAGTCGCACCAGCACCCTGTGGGTCATGGCCAGGTTGTGGACCTCCCAGTCATTGGCATGGGCACTGTTCATATGCACCATGGCCAACGGGCGAGCCGCATGGATCATGTGYCGGAGCGCCGATGAGTACGGCTTCCTGTGGATGGCCGGGACCCCAATCTCAACAGGTGAGTCGCTCGAACCCACCGCCAAACCAACCTCAACAGTCGGCCCCACAAGGATCATAAGGGAATCAAGGTGGTGGAAGAGGACAGATTGAAGAGGAAACGCGAGGGCGAGGAAATTGTGGCCGCGGGGGATATGGGAGAGGAAACACGAACAGTAACTTCCAGAGAGGAGGAAGTGACGGGTGGAACGGTGCGGGGCGTCAGAGTGGCCAGCAAAGTGGTGGAGGATATGGAAGAGGAAGGGTAGATTGGAGAAATGCCATCTATTGGCATTGTGGCCAGAAGGGCCATGCAATTAAGTTTTGTCAGGTCCGAAAGAGTGATGAAAAAGATGGCCTGATAAGTTCATGCTATGATGGTGATTTTTTCGACATGTACGGTGAGTACATAGACCCGAGAATCCCAGGGGGGATAAGGGAAGAAGCTCTGCGGCGTGCTAATGCCCCAGCTCCACCAGCCCCTCCGGCCGCTTTTCGTATTTGACAGGAAGTAGAAGACCGTCAGGGCGTGAGGATAGAGGAGATAAGCGAAAGTAAAGAGGTTGAGCAGGGATTGAGGGCCGACACCATAAAGGAGGAGCCTATCGTGGTTGAATCCCACGACGACGAGCAAGATGGTGGCCATGGCAGGGCAAGAGATACGATGGAGAGAATGGAGGACCTACTGGCAAAAATCGAGAGGTACCAGGATAAGCTGACCACTCTTTGTCAGGAGGTCAACAGGTGGAAAGGAGAGTTACCATTGGTGTACCTCATCGATTCAGGCCCAGGGGCACAAGACGGGTCTGAAAACCTRCCCGGAGTGACTGTCACGGCGCCAATTCCTAGGTYTGGGATGACCTTCAGGCCGCCGTCAAGAGCCGGAAGGGCAGCTTTGGCGGCACGTACTAGATCGAAGGGAGCGCCCGACTCAAGCCAGCCCACTCAGGACAACCCGGGACCGAGTGGTGAGAAAGAGACAGTAGAGATTCCCGAGGATGAGGAGGATGAGGATGAAAGGTTAAGAACGGAAGAGGACAAGAAGGCTGAAGAAAGAGCCAAGAAGAGGGATGCAATGGCCGGCGCTGGTAAGGAACAAGAGGGCAAGAGAAGGAAGTATAGAGTCAGGTTGGAGGAAGGGTTCGACGTGGAAGGGATGGTCGATAGGCTCCTCGAGGGCCATAACGACCTGTCGAACTTGAAAGATATCCTCGCCTCGGCTCCAAAATTGCGAGACGAGCTAAAGGCTCGTTTGTCCCGACGATTGGTGGCGAGCGTACGTTTGGGGACTGTCATCCCTAAAGAAGGGGAGTGGGCTGAGACAGACACCAAGATAGACTGGAAGTCCGTCGCATGTGGGTGCGTAGAAGTGATGGTAAAGGGAAAGCCGTGCACCACGATGGTAGACACGGGAGCGGAAATGAACCTCATAAARGAGGAGCATGCTTTACGCTTGGGGATGGAGATTGATCGCTCCGATAATGGAGTTTTAATGGGAGCGAATAGTCGGTGTGTGTTCATAGGGACCGCATCGAGAGTGGTTTTGGAGATTGGCAAGGTTAAAGTGAGAAGTTGTTTCTTTGTGATGCCCGATCTCGACCATCCCATCTTATTGGGCCGATCCTTTTTGAGCCGAACGGAGACCGTCATACTGAATAAGCATGATGAGACGATGTTCTTCGTCTTATGTGACCCGGTATGTGGCAACTATGAGGTTATCACATGTAGAAATACTGGGCCACGAAGTATAAGGAATAGGCCCAATCCTGGGTCTTTTACGATTGAGGAATCGGAAGAAGAAAGGAAGAGGCTAGGAGGAAATGAGTTTGAAGAAGAAAGGAATCCAGACGCACTGACTCTTAGCCTGACCAATATAGGCGATGTTATGGACATAGTGTTAACCTATGGGATGGCGGACCCGGAGACCGTAGAGGCCTTGAGAGAAAAGGTGATGGAACAGATGGGTGAAGGAGAGGTGGAGCTGGTATATCGGACGCCCGGAAAGAGAGGAGGATCGGCAGGAGCCCAACCCCTGAGTGCAACTCGGCCTTTTTTAGGGGTGGGCTCAAGCAAGGGTCACAAATGGGGTACAAAAGAGTAGATCAAAAATGCCGCCCTGTTCCTGTGCCCGTGACTGAGAAACAAGAAGTTTATTACGAGCGGGAACGAGAGTTGATACGGCAGATGCGAGAGGATGCACAAAATGGGCCATGTCGTATCACTCCTTAGACAGAAAAGACGTTGATTATAGGGGAGCCCGACTTCCTTACCGCGCAAGATGAGAAGCTTATGGTGGAAACCATAAAAGGAAGGCATACTGCATATGCCTTCAATGATGATGAACGGGGCCGTCTGGACGTGGATAGAATCCCGATGATTAGGATACATACCGTTCCCCACGAGCCATGGAACTTGCGGGGTGCGCGGTATCCTAATCCTGCTGATGAAGAAAAGGTAGTTAGCTACCTTGATGGGAAAATTCATACGCACGTATCAGACTACTCGAGTGGGCCATATGCATCCCCTTGGTTTTGTTTCGTCAAACCAAATGGGACCTTGAGGAAGGTACAGGATTTGCAGCGCCTGAATGTTGTAACTGTGAGAGATGCAGGTGGTCTCCCTAACGCAGATGCGCTTTCAGAGGCATGCGCTGGAAGAGCCATCATATCTCTCATAGACTTATATTCTGGTTAYGACCAGTTTCCTGTTTACCCCTCTGATAGGCCGATGACGGCGATGCATACCCCTCGAGGGTTAATCCGCATGAATGTCGCACCGCAAGGGTGAACAAATGCAGTCGCCATGGTCCAGAGGCACATGGTGAGGGAAATGCAGCCAGTAAGCCCTCACATTACTCAGCATTACATTGATGATTTGACCGTAAAAGGGCCTAAAGAGAAGAACGAGCAGGAGGTAATGCCAGGGATTAGACGCTTTGTCTGGAACCA